CCTCGGCCCTTTTGGTAAGTTTCCCAGTGTGCACACCAAGAACCTCGACTCTACGCATTTAGGGAAGGTTGTGAACCTTCCAGCCGTGTAGTAGGGCGTCTATAAGCCCAATGGGGGTGGAAGTCACAGTTGAGCAGAACTAGGGAACCTGGGGATTCATCCTCTTTGAGGTTAGGAGAATTTGGTTCTCTTTTATGCAGTTCCCATTTGTTTGGTAGGCCTTGGCGTTGAGATTGTTTGGGTTTAGAATTCCCTGTAGTGTCTACTTGTCAACTTATGTTTGTTGTTATTGTTTGTGAGTTTTGTTTCAGCATGGGAGGCTCCATTTCTAATGCCTTGGGGAGAATCTTGACTAAATGATCAATTTATAGCTATAAGCCTATGTCTAAAGAGGGAATGGTGTTTTATTGTAATACTGCTTGGCCCATGTACATGCTGGAATGTGAGAGTGGCCATTGAATGGAAACTTAAATTATTATACTGTCTTACAACTGGAATTATTACGTGTCAAATGTCAGGTAAATGGGATGAGATCTCATATGTGCAATCTTTCATGCAATTTCATAATAAAGAGGCTGAAAGGCCTGGGACAAAGTTAATGGTACAAAGGAAACCTCCACCACCAGTGTGTGAGGATAGTCAGAACTTGGATGATAAAATTGAGAAGGAATTAACCAGGTTGGATCTCATGAACCCTTTCAATCCAAACCTCACAGAACCTGCTCCCCTGCCATCAGCTCTCCTATACCCACTGTTACTGGTGGAAGGGCCCATGGTTGGGGAGGGGGCGACTGAAACTGATTTGTCAGTCCCACGCCCACTGGGTTATGACTTGAGAGTGGGAATGGTCTCTCCTTCCAAAACCTGGTAAGGGAACTCAATTTGGCCAGAGGGCACCTGTAGCTGGGGCCGGGCAATTGACACTATGGCAATCCCCCAGAGGGGACTTCACAAAAAGCTAATGAAATCCCTCTGAATTTTTGGAATGCATCTATAAGGCATACCAGAAATATACAAATGTGGATCCAGAGGCCCCTGAAAATTTGCACATGGTTAATATGATTTTTATAGGACAGAGTGCTCCAGATACAAGGAGGAAACTACAGCGTGTGGAAGGGGCAATTGGCTCAAATCCCTTGCAGTTTGTTGATATCGCCTTTAAAGTGTATATGCTAGAGAAGAACATAGCTAGCTGCACCAACCAAGGGTCCTTTGTGATAGTCAAAAGGAAAGGGCGGAAAAGGCTGTCCTAGGTTGAAACACAATCAGTGTGCTTTTTGTAAAGAGGAAGGACGCTGGGAAGAACACTGCCTGAAATTGCAAAGGGCTCCAGGTTACAAGAAACCCCTAGGAGTGCAAGTAGTTTTTCAAGTCCAGGACTCAGGTGATGAATGAGGTGCCCAGGGCTCCATGTGTCATTGGTGGCTCCAATCCAAATATCCCCACAGGAGGCCCAGCTACAATTGATAGTAGGGACTTGATTAGTGAACTTCTTAATTGACCCAGGTGCAGCACCACCACCAAGCCACACGGGAAAAAGCAGTCTGGGGCCCCTGTGGCCACCACCCTGGCCCCCAGCACGAGCTGTGCATGGCACTCTGCAAGCCAGGCTGGGGATTGTGGCCAGGCAGTGAGTGGCAAGGTAGCCATTGGTGAAGCAGCAGCTGAGGAACTCATCACCACTGGCCCAGGAGGCAGGCCACAGGGAGCTGCCAACATAGCTGGCACTGCTCCACGAGCCATTAATGATAGTGTATAAGGCATACACCCTACGGTGCCAAACCCATCTAAAGTGGGATAAGGTGTTGCTGCTTGCCCTCCTTTGGATAAGGGTAGGCCCTAGAAGCAGGTTTAAGTTAACACTCTATGAAATAGTTTATGGGAGACCATTCCTAGCACTCTGACATAAGTATGGTAACATAACCATAAGGGAAGAAAACAGAGTAAAGCAATATGTCAAACAAATAGGTCAAATACTAACCACTGTACATGAAATTGCCTCTTTCAGGTCCCTGTCCCAACTGGAAGCACCCCTCCACCCCTTTAAACCAGGAGACCGGCTGTTGCTTAAAGCTTGGAAAGAACAAGGACCCAAACAACAACTGGTCGAGAAATGGGAGGGACCCTGTGAAGATGGAGAGACAACTCCTTAATGAGGATTTCTCAAGCTGTCACCTCTTCTGCTGGTCTGCCTCGCTGCTGGGTTTGTCACTGTGATTAACAGCTCTGTACTCAGAGGTCCCATGTTTCTTTCTCACCCAGCCCTGTATAAGACTGTCCCGACCCGCGGGGTAGTCAACGCGGACCCTGGAGGAG